TGGTTGTTTTGATAACACTGAATGCAAAATGTAGGCGAATGGTCATGGGGGCTACAGAGAGTGGTTGGGACATTATATTTTGAGGACAGATAATTACAATTACAAACAAAGTCAATTTTGAGTGAAAGTAGGTAAAAGACTCAAGTAATAACAGTCCATCCTGAGTCCAAGCAAAATCTCATAGTTTTTTACGATTTACTTTCATTTAAGAATAGACTTCCACTTTGTGTGAGTTCATTGGAGTATGAACCTTCATAGAGTGTGGGCCAAAGGGTGAAAGTCAATTGTTATGATTTTTATATCACTATTTTATCCCCAGCTGGATGTAGCGCTATATATATATATACATGTAACTTCTAGTTTTCTTCGTTTTGTTCTCAAGGATGGGTTGTATCGAGGATATCCTTGAACGGGCATGTACTCAAACTCTCCTACGTATCCCAGTGTACGCTAAAACGCTAAGTTCAAAATTAGATGGTCTAAATGATGGAAAACGACGCTTCGTAATGTAATTCGTGCTTGGGAATTCCCAGGTATTTCCCAAAGGAATATGCAAGTAGTTCGTCAGTGTTTACGTCATTTCAAGAATACAGTCTTGTGGAAAACGTATGAACGTCCAAATGCGTCATTCATACACTTATGAACTTCAATTACGCGGTCATGTGACCGACCTCTCGTCCAAAGGAAAAGCCGTATGTACACTCTTCAAAAAAGGAAATGCATAGTTAAAAAATAAGGATATTTATTAAGCGGATATAAAAGTATCTACACAGAATATGCATAAACACAATCAAATGAAATTAGACACAGTGATCGACAAACGCATTGTCGTCATTGTCAGGATTAATTCAGCTCAGTCATTGCACATGTGTAGCCACAAGGGGGTGTCATGGTCAGTACCTGGTCACACCACCTCTTGCAGCCGGCACTGTTCGACACCTCCTTGGCACAGATTGCACAAGTCGTCGGAATTTTTCGTGGGGAATTCTTCGTCATTCCTCCTGTAAGGCGTTGGCGAGTTGTTCCAGTGTGTGGGGACGCTGGTGACGTTGACGGACGCGTCAATCAAGTTCGTCCCACAGATTTTTCATTAACAAGGACATTAACTGTTGCACATGCTGGGTGGGGCCGAGCGTTGTCATGTTGGAACAGCTCCCTCTGGCGGTTCAAAGTTGGGAGGAGGAGAGGACGCAGAATTTTGTCTATGCATCAGTTTGCTGTAAGATTGCCCGGGACAACCACTAACTGTGATCTACCCGTGTAGGATATGGCTCCCCAAACCATGACACTCCCTCCACCAAATCGGTCCACCTTTTGAACGCAGTTCGGCGCAAAACGTTCATGTCGACATCGGTATACACGTTGTCTTCCATCCCGTCGTTAAAGAAGAAAACGTGACTCATCGCTGAACCAAACGCGTCGCCAGTTCCTGAGATCCCATGCCCGTACTCTGTTGCACCAGCAGACGCGCCGTTGACGGTGTAGACGTCGCAAGACAGTTCCAACTCTTGGTCGTCTCGCTCGAATTCCAACTTCCCTCAGAAGAAGAATTCTTCGCATACCAGGCACTTGTCCTGCAGTGTCCGTTGCTGCAGTAAATCGATTCCGAGGGTGATGCAACCGGATGTCCCGATCCTGAGCAGGGCCCGGGGTGGTCACATTTGGTCTTCCACTTCTTGGATGATCTTGAGTCGAATAAGTGCGGGTATATCGATCCCATAGTCGAGATATGGTGCTTTGGTGAACGTTGAAGTGTCTTGCACCGTCAGAGTTGGACTCAACTGCTTCCAAACGTCTAAGGTCGATATTTCGGTCAGCTGCATTTAATCTTGGCATTTTTCTCCGTTCACGTCATTCGTAATGAACTGATGAATCTTGTACGATCTTTTATAGTCAGTATCTCTACTCTTGTTTCCAACGTTTTGCACGTGCATTGTGCGGAAAGCTTTTTCTGAAAGCAATTTCCGTGCATACTTTTCATTTTTGCTGATAAACGTTTACAAAAAAACATTTGAGATGTGTTTACGCACAATGCACAACAAATATGACATGATTAACGGAAATCCAACATAACAATTGTCTTTATGACGATTGCTGGGGGAAAAAAATCTAATTTGAATTCTCAAAACATCTATGCGTTAAACTTTCCTTTTTTGAAGAGTGTATGTCTTGATAACTTCACATTAAATTTCTTTTACGGCTATAACCAAAAAAATATAACTTATTGTTCGATAACTGTGCATAGCGGAGAGATATGTTGTCTCAATAAACTTAGTGACATGGTTTGGTTTGACGTCTTGGGGCGTGTTTGAATTCCAATAACAGGTTTCATATCCTAAAACTGACTTATCAGTCAATCTCGCTGCACTGCGCGCGGCAGATACTAGAGCATGTCATGCCAGAAATACGGAACCTATTGCTCCCAAAAGGAAGCCTTGGGCATCACGTGCGTCAGGTGCCCAGTGCCATCTGACTGGCCAACAATAGTTGTATAAGGCGGGACAAAAAGCATCGTATTTTCCATTCATTTTACGCTTGAAAAACTTGACGCTTTTCCGGGCACTTTCTGGACGCTCAACAATTAATCAATTTTAATGAATTTTCAGTTGTGTTTTCGTCCAATGACCATATACGAAAGAAAACGACGTTTACGTATTTGCAGTGTTATGTATCGGGGTTGCACATCCCCAGGTGCCAATACTGACCACAGCATGCTAATACATTTTGTATTACACCAGAACACAATGGTTGGATAATCCAAGTGATAATTGATATCATATCAGATATACCAATACTGCAATTGTTAGAGTTGTGCTAACTTAGGTTAAGGCAGCTTGCATGTGTAAGATGTAAATACAATGTTAAGGGAATTAAAAGGAATAAAGAAATGAATTTCGTCAGCATAATTGTAACATGGGAAGGCACAGGAATACCACTTGCACTGTCAGACATATATTTGGAACTGAGTACATATTATTCGAACTTTTATCATAATATACTTTCATTAACTATGTCTAAAAGAACGCACCCATATACTGTAGAGAAATAATATATTGCTTAATTAATCGACGACAAACACATTCGCTCTTTTAAATAGTCTTACATTTCAAGTTAATATAAACATCAACGCCAGAGAAACAGATTTGTTTAGGCGTAAAAAGGCGGATTTGAACGGATCACTGAAAATCAGTGATGACCCCAGGGGTTGGCGAAAAGAGTACCTATGGCCTGTTCTACAGGTAACACTTCCCATTCACACAATTTCCCTGAACATATGCGTTTGTTTGTTGCCCGATGCATCAAAGCTGTACTCATCACATGGCATGTAAACAAACCAGACAATAAAGTGATGGACCAGATATCGAATCACGCGATAGTGCATTTACTGATTTCACTGAAATAAAAAACTATGTGTTACTTTGAATTACGTCGGCTCTGCACCAGTGCAGAGATTCTGTTGCTTATAGTAAAGAAAACCTACTGTGTAATAAAAATATTTAACTATACAATTTGGTTATTTCAGATTATGTTATAGAATTATATTGGTTACCGATAAAAAAAAGTAATATGCTGCATTCCTATCGACGTATGCATGTAGCACAGTATTGGCCGCACCGTATGGGCGCTTAATTTCATTGCTGAACATTTGAGATTGGATATTGGACGATGATAAATCTAAAACGTTATGAACGAGGTCGGTAAAATGAAGAGCGAAGCTTCTAGGCTAGGAGCTGTCGGGCCTTAACACGCCTGTCTTCGCGTTATATTACTAAGCCATAAAATATGTGCCATAAAGTTGAAATGTCACTTATGCAAACAATCCCCGAACCTGTTTAAAGTATTTTACTTAAAATAGGTGTCAGGGTGACCACATAGTGATGGTTCACATCGCACATTATTACAAAGAAATATAGAATAGCACTAGTTATTATGCATTAGATAATAACGTATTCGTTTGTGCTAAACTATTGTGAATATGTACTGCCATAGTTAGACGTATCAGTATATTGATGTTGGTCAGCACCCTTTTCAATAGAACGACAATGTAAATAGAAAAGAATGAAAATGGAAAATGCAGCATCTGCATATCACAACTTCGTAATGACGACTTAAACCAATCAATGCATGACAAGCACACACGTGTTTTATGGCAAACCACTTATTTTTTCAAATATGCCCATGAAGACAATGCCGCCACATATATTTAATGTTAATGACATGGCCCGAGAGCTGACTGTGCCAGGTCCATGACCACACTACACACCCCCTACGCCCCAACCCCAACCCCTTCACACGCACCCTCACACCCACACACGATAACACGCCAACACACACACACACACACACACACACACACACACACACACACACACACACACACACACACACACACACACACACACACACACACACACACACATAAAAAAACACAACCTACTACCTTCCTGCGGTATGTTTTGTATACATAAGTTATCAATCCATTTTGTTGTTTTTAGGGTTGTGTTCAGCAGGGATTCACAATATTGTATATAGAGGTTGCACATCGCCAGTCAGGGGTAGTGATGTGTATGGTGGTTACATGTAACTGACTGAAGAACAAATATGTGTCAGTTGTTTTGGTTCCACCTACCGTTTCGAACAGAAGGCAATACTGACCACAGCATGCTAATACATGCCGCCACATATATTTAATGTTAATGACATGGCCCCAGAGCTGACTGTGCCAGGTCCACCAACATCATCTCCAGGCCACCCTACACACCCCCTACCAGCCAACCCCAACCCCCACACACGCACCCTCACCCCCCACACACGCTAAGATACCAACACATATACACACATATAGAAACACACACACACACACACACACACACACACACACACACACACACACACACACACACACACACACACACTACTGCCTTTCTGTGGTATGTTTTATATACATAAGCTATCAATCCACCAATCTATCCATTTATACAATTTTATCTTTATTTCAGATATTGCATGTTTTCATGGATTTAGAGTGATTGACTGGTGCGGCAGAGACGGCTCATTGAGGTTTATCTACGATATGATGCTGATGACATGTCATCACTGGCTTCAGAAACCGCTAAGGAGTATACAGGTAATAATACAAACTGCTATCGTAATATTACCACCAGTTTGCACTACTTAAGAATATTTGAATAATAATTTCAGCAATACCAGGTTAGGAAGAATTAAAATTTACTTTGAATACATACTTTTTTTTAGATGCAATGCGTATCGACGGATTAAAAATGAAAGTTTCACGTTCAATGACAGTTTGTTTTCCTGTGCAAGTTTTCAAACAATGAAATGTTCAAGACCAGAGTTAGGGTACATTATGCGCAACATATTATAGTTGAAGTATACTAATTAACGAGTTAGCAAGTGTCTGTTTTTGAATGCCACAGCAATATTCCAGTTAAGCCCTGGTAAACTTGAATGTATCAAGTCTGGATAACCAAATCACTGATAATGAGAAGTATGAGAAACGTTGCACGGCACAGGGTACGCCAACGCGTCATCATCATAGTTACAGAGCATGATCTACAGATACCATGTTATTAGTTCTGATTCGTTTGCAGGGACAGTTTAGAAATATGTGATGTGTACATGTCTTGTTATAAAAGGTGGTAGTTGCAGTACATGTTTTCAGTATGTCAGAGTATTTTTCAAATATTTCAGTCTTACGTTTCCATTTCCAGATGGATGCACTAAATGTCAGGCAGTAGGACGATCATACAAGAGTCACTACAACGGTCCTAATATTCTTCTTCTTCATACAACCCGGTCTATCGTTTGTGCTGGAAAGAAATCTGGACAACTTTTAGAAAAGAAAAAGAAAACTCTTGAGAGAATAGGGAAGATCGTCTCAGCTTGGAGGAACAGCGGAGGGGGTCATCTTCTGATCCACGTGGAGGGTCAAATACCCGAGGACAGGTGTCTGGAACAGTTTGATGAGTTCATCACAAGGAGTCTGTCTGATCTCATTGATGACGGAGAGTTATATGTAGACACATACAGGCGACATTGGCTCTCTGATTTACATAAGTTTCAAGGCAATACTGACTACGTTTTAGTTAATGTGAAGGAAACAAACGGGATAGCTACTGTGGATTTTAACACGAAAGTGAGGAACGATATTGAAAACTTACCAGTAACGTCTGTCAGTTTGGCTAAATGTATGTTCAACAGACCGAGAAATACAGATACCACCAAAACAAAAGGTTTATGTGAAAATATTCAAGATCTCCATGAAAGCAGGAATATTGAGATAAAAGGATTCCATGTTGGCAACCTGAAGAATCAAACAGTACAAAAACTTTCCAGAAGTCTTTCAGATTTTGTTGATTATATATGGCATGATCTCAAACTTAAGGATAATCTGACCTCTATGTCCAAGGTTGAGGGAGGTGGGTCATACTATGTTGGGATAAGTGAGGACACTCTGGACATTGAGAGTTACAGAACTAAACTTCTTAACATTGACGGGTTTTGCATGTCATTTGATGAATCTGAGATCATCAGAGCCATTAAAGCTAAACTTCAAAGTGACACAATAGCCTTACAGAAGGACACATTCCGTAGTGTCCCTGACGATTTGATTGAAGTGCAGTTACATCCATTACCGGGAACTGAGAGACGTGTTCTAGAGATAGCTGTCCGCTATTATGATGGGATTATCTTCAATGACAAGGACGGACCAAGGGCATATGAAGTAAAGGACAACGCCATACATCGGATGGACAAAGCTACCTGGTTAGGGCGTTTTAAAGTAGCAAATAAATAATTCAAGGGACGTTCAACATGGCAGATCAGTTGGAGTGTCCCAGCAAGACGAGTGACAGTGACGAGAGTGATGACTCCAGTGTGCCCAGCAGGTACAGCTCAGAAGGAGACATTCCTTTACCGACCTATGATGTCTTCTCCGACTCGGACGACGCGGTAACAGGTTTAATGACTTCAGGTAAGGCTTTATCGCCATTTTTTTTAAAATATGGTCTATATATGATTCCTAATGTTAATCTTTGTAAACTTTGAAAGCAAATAATTTTTCTTCACCTGTTTCAGGTTGCATGCTCCCTTCAAGCAATCTCTCTATCACAGAACAAAGAAATATTGGGAGGATACTATCTGATGAAGCGAGACAGCCATGTACGGATTAGTAGATCTTGTAGTGGCAATATTAAACGTAATGTTTTTCACCATCAATAATATTGGCTGTCACTCTCAAAGAATTATAGATGATTGTGTGTATTGTGCTTGTGTGATGTGTGTCTGTGTACGTCCATGTGTGACTTCCTTATTAATTTCATAACATGCAGTATTTGTGTATGACAAATGACGCATAAAGACTTTAATTAATTTGACCAAACCCAAGCCACTTTATTTTATATTTAATGCTAAGCCATACGGGTATGCCACTGTAATGTTCAATTTAATGAGCATCTGTTTCAATGTAACACATTTACATGTATTTTATGAAACTGTCAGATAAGAAATAGTGCATCAATGTTTGTTTATGTTTATGTATTCAAATTTTCTTTCTTCGGTTACTGCCTTGTAACGATGGCTAGCGTATACGTTGGCTGAACATGTGTGACAGATTTACTTCGTATATGAGGCCAATAGTACAATTTTGTTGCAGGAACATTCTTGTTCAGCATTTTATATTGCATCTGAAAAGATGTACACATTTGAGTTTTATTAATATTCAATGTATCATCCTTCCTTCCAATATCGCGTTAACAAAAACTGCAAGTCTGAGAAGAATGTGGCTATTTGTGCTGTTCATTAACTGTACAACGTTTCTTTGTGTTGGATGAATGTAATAATAGTTAGGCAGGAATTTGATTCTTATATATTATCTTTAGCTTACCTTTATATATACTTCTTAGTAGTGTGCTTATCTTACCATGAATAGCTTTACCGAGCAACCATGTGTGACTCAATTCATAATGATAAATTTTTGCGATGGTTGTTTTAGTCTTTGGCATCTTCCCGGCCGTAATTGAAGGCATTCTCACGACAGAGTATGCCTACATTGTACAGAGGCTGAGAGAGCTACCAGGCAGAGATCGTACAGTCATTATCTCAGCAGGCAGCTTACTGAAGATGGTAAACCCCTCCTGGGAGGGGCGAGTACCTGCGTCTGTCCTGTGTGATGTGTGTGTATTTTCCCCTACACGGCCTGTCTTGGTGCTGACTTTCACAGCTATGGATGGGGACAACCAGAAGCACATTCAATACAACACCCATTTGGCGAGATTGATCATACAACATGTGAAGGAGGATACAAAGTTTGATTTCAATGTTGTACATGAGACTGTAGACAACATTGTATGTCAGGAGAAACATGGTTTTCTTACGAGGATCGACCAATGTGAGAATTCAGCCAAAAGCATCTGTTTCCCTGCCGAACTGCACATGGATCACGACAAGTGTACTGCCATTATACAGTCTTTCCTGAACTACCTGTCTGGTAACGAGTTAACGAGGCGTTCACCATCTAGGGAGGATAAAGTTGGTGTGAAGATCATTTCCAAACCGGATGTATGTATACATATTATTCTGCAAGCCAAATAATTACAAACAAGTTCAATCCTCGAGACTTAATTTAAGGATTTGATAGACCTTCATATGGAAACTGGTTGAAGTAAGGAAATGTTTCAGGTTTTTCAAAAGCGTCGTCGTTTGCTTTCAGCAGCTGAACAAGGCCTGGTGCAATTTATATATTTATGAATATTATGACTTTGCATTGCCCATTGGCATCCATATACTAGGATTATTGTTGATACAGTATGAAACTGTGAAATAGATGCACTGAAAGATGTGAGGCATCAAGGTATTTGTTTCCATGATTTATAAAGGGTATTTTGAACCTTAAATGTTTGATTTTATTAGAAATACATGCTTGCTATTATTTTACCCTATTATTTATTATCACTGGACACGTGAAATAATATCATTAGAAATCACCACTTTCCGTTACATTTATATTGGATTTGTACACATACAGAAGGAGTGCAACGGGCATATGATGCATTCAAACTTTTTGGCGCCTAAAGGTTTAGTCTCACCCTACCCAGTCAAAAAATGTTGTTATCCATCCATTTTCATACGGTTTTTTTATTACCATTTTTAGGCACTTGATGAATTACGACAACACTTACTGTCAGTTGAGGTGGCTCAGGAACACAAGATCAGCGAAGTCAATCACCATCATGAAATGAAGCTATCACAACTGATGGACCAACATGCTCAGCAAAAGGACAGATTGGAGAAAGAAATAGAAGAATTCTTTCTGCAGCTTCAGCAGGAAAGAAAAGACAAAACAGTTGGTAAGTTATATTAGTTTGACATGTGTAAACCGTAATTAAGGCTCACAGTCTAAGCTTGTGAAACCCTTCAGGTTGTGATTATTTTATGTATATGTATTTTTATTATACCTGATTGAATCCTTTATTCAAAATAATTTCATAAAACCCGTCTTTTATATATCTTGATACAAAACTCAAAAGGAGAAAGGTATATGCTGACAATGCCAGGATTTCACAAACGGCTACTTAATATACAATACGTAAAAGCAAATCACACCCTCATTATGGTGCTGCAAGCTTGACACGGATGACTGTGATCAGCCATTTTGTGAGTTAACAGTGCTCTGGGTAGACTTAACGTTCAAGCCCAGTCGTCTAAGGCGCCGCGATTCTCTGTACAGAGTTACGTCCCTTAGGCACGCCAGAAACCGATGATTGTGGGTTCGAATCCCGGTTCGCCCCAATTATGTTTCTAGGTTGGTCAGCACCATACCCGTGCTCGCGGGTTTCACCAAAGTGGTAAACGTCTGAGACCTGCATCACTTCGGGCTTTCCTCCCACATTAAGCTGATATGACTGGAATACTGTTAAAAGCGACATTAAACCCAACTCGCTCACTCACTACAATATTATGACTAGACGTTTTTGACAGAGCATCGACTATGATAATGAAGGAATGAAGTAAACTGTTGGTGGCCATTATTTTATTTTCACAGAACCACAACGTTTGGACGTTCGTACCAGAACATCAAGCAAGTAAGGCACCCTTTAAATCTTACTATACTAAATTATGAACAATGGAATTAGTATTGATTTTATCTTTACAACTTTTATCTTTATCTATGCATTTAGTTCAGCGTTGTGCTTTGAGTAATGGTGGTGATTTGGAAAACAGTTTCACTTACATAACAACTCTGATCCTGATTCTGGCCTTGCATTGCATTTTGGTTCACATTGATGATCAAAATGGTTACTTAAATGTTATAAGACTTCTAAGGAACAAACCAATTAATATTCTATGCAAACAATATATTTTTGTACTAAAGATTATTAACCTAAATATACACCTCGACAAATATTGCACCATCAAATTTGAAGTGTAATTTTCAGTGTATTGCTTTTCAAACGGTACACTGTGTGTTGAAATATCATCTGCCAATAGAATGGTAGCCACCTGCTCAATCCTGTGGGTGAGTTTATGCGATCCGTATGCACACCTAATGGCTCTCTATTGAGAACTCAATGTTTGATTACAGAACGTTCAAGCGTCTTTACTTCTATTAAATTTGAATGAAAGTTCTACTAATTTGAACTTTTGTCTTTGTGAACTGAAATGCTTAATAGTCCATGAGACAGATCCAATTGTTAATAAGAAGAACCAACTGGGGTGGTACAATCTCCCTATGATTTTTTCAAAGTCATATATCCATAGATAAAGACTTTGAAAGCAACCCGGGACTCACAGCTTAGTGGTAGTTATCATTACATTAAGGTGGACACCTTAATCGAATCCAAGGTTCCAGATTTCGGGGTAGGGGAAACTAGAAAGTTGAAAAACTTCACAAGCAATAGCCACATAGTGACGTATGACCTCTCAAACATGATAGCCTGATCCCCAACACGTAATATAGTAGTAATTGGGTAGTTATGTAGGTTACCAGAGGTCAGAAAATACACCACGGATACCACACCAATTGCACTCTTATAATCAAAATGGGTTATAATTGAAGCCTAGAAGAAAATTTATTGTATTTTGTGCTGTATTACAGATGGGTTTTTGATGCAGTTTATAAAAAAATGTTATTTTGCGCTAAAACAAGCAAAAATGTATGAAGTTGGACTGCTAAGCATGAATCCATAACTCTTCACTCCAAGTTGTAACAGCATGTGGGGCGGTCGGGTAGCCTAGTGGTTAAAGCGTTCGCTCGTCACGCTGAAGACCCGGGTTCGATTCCCGACATGGGTACAATGTGTGAAGCCCATTTCTGGTGTCCCCCGCCGTGATATTGCTGGAATATTGCTAAAAGCGGCGTAAAACCATACTCAGTCAGTCAGTGTAACAGCATGTCCTAAATGTATTCAGAAGTTGTTGTTATGTTTTGTTAGGCACATAAGATAAAACTGAAGGTCCAAGTAAGGTCAAGTTGAAAATATCAACCAAATACCAATAACATAAAATGCAACTCTGTTGCATTATTGATATTGATATTTGATAAAGATCACACAATTAGACTGTCAGCTTTATCACATTAGTGTTAAAACATAAGGCTTGATGCTTGGACAGACTCTGATTATTCGTCATCTGAACTATCATCACATACGCCCAATTGAAGCGATTGACACAGCACTCTGTCGTCATAAATTGTCACTGAGTGAAGAAAGTTCAACCAAGTGTCCAAGTAACATTGGTGTTTGATAACTTCGACCGACTCAGGTGACACTGAGTGGAGGAGGAACATCACACTGAGTGAATGGAATCGTAGTGCAGCCAAAGTTATTTGGTCCAAATCATTTGAAGTTTGTCCTGAATGAACCATGGGTCATGGACCATGAGCATACTTTCCCAGAACATCAAAGATGTCAAATAATTGGCTAGCAGCACATTGGCATGCCATGTGGCCATTCCACCGTCTTGAGCATTGATGATGCTGTAATCAGTCTACTCATTACATATTGACATATGGGGGAATTGGTGATATCAGGACGTCTACGGCAGACCACTGCCAGAGAGGACAGGGTCTTTTTTCGCCAGGCAAGACGGCGGTCAACTTCAACTTTCAGCTTCAACTTCGTCATCACTGGCATACCCACAACAGAGCGTCCCTCAGGACTATCAGACGTTGACTGAAAGCAGGAGGATTAATGGCAAGAAGACCGATAAAACGCCCACTCCTTTCATTCCAACACACACTGATGTCACGACTCGTGTCTTAAGGCAAAGAGGAACATCTCATCATCAGCGCAACATCCAGGAAACAGTGGCATGTGGTGGCGGCCCAATGATTGTGTGGGGGTGTTGCACCTTTGGTTGTAAACTTGATGTTGTCACAGTTTAGGGGACATTAAGGGGACAAAGGTACCAAGATACCATATTGGGCGAATATGTTGTGCCTTATTTTGACTACCATGCACTTGCCACATGTCCTGTCATCATGGACAACAATGCCCGACACCACGGAACACTTTTTGCTCAGCAAAGAGGAAAGTTATCATCCGTGATCACCTCAGCACAGATGTCCAACTCCCCTTACTCCCCTCCTTTACATGGATGACCTTGAACTTACTGCCTGTGGAGGATCCACACCAGAAAAACAGATTTTCTTTGTCGTCTCCATTACTAATGATATCGGTATGTCCTTTGGACTCAATGCAACATTCTTCATCAGTCAGTTTACTTGGAGGAGGAGTTATTTAGTGGAAGGTCAGGCCTATAGGGATGCAGATTAGGGACAAACTCTAAAATGCCCATATCAAGGAAAGACTTCAGGCAGAGTACAAATGTAGACTTTAGAGTTCAGAGCTGAAGGCTCGCAATAAAGTTCAAGCCACAAATATTTATGTTGTACCCGTCCTTTCATATTCTTTTAATGTTGTTGGTAGGACGAAACAAGAAATTCAGAGTATTGACACTCTCACGTGAAGAATTATGTCAGATGATAGATCCCATCACCCATGCTCTTCCCTCAATCGCTAAGATTTACCAATCATTATGGAGGACCTGGCTTGATTAACATTGGGATTCTTCAGGATAGTATTATTTTTTTGCACTTTTGCACACATTTATTTGTCTGATCATCCTCTTGTGAAGCATGTCAAGACTCATGATGAAAACAAGGCATTACACAATTTCCTTACACGAGAGAAGTATATGGGACATAATCTCAAAGTCAGTGTTGATTTTGTTGATGGTTCTGTACTGCTGGACGGTACAGAAATGAGTGTCAACCAAGTGAAGTGCCATATCAAATCATCCCCGATTCAGTATTTCAAGGAGAGGCTATCTGAATGACCACTGCATCAAATTTATGTGAAGTGTGTTGAGAGGGTCAGCAACCCTACAGAGTCTTTCGCTTGGATGAGGTCGGCTGGCCTGAAAAGTGAAACAGAAGGCTTTCTGTTTGCTGCTAAGGACCAGTCATTTCCCACTCGAAACCGTCAATGTGTGATGTTGCATCAAAATGTAGATATGAAATGTAGATTATGTAATGAATTTAATGAGACTGTACAAAACATTGTCAGTGGATGCCCAGCTTTGGCAGACACACAGTATCTTAAGCGACATGATGATGTAGCTCGATCAATTTATTATCGTCTTCGCCATGCTTGTGCGTTTGACACACAGGTCAATCCATTGCACGACCCAGAATATGTAGAGGGTGTCATGGAAAATGATATATACAAAATTCTTTGGAATAGGACCGTTTACAACCTCAGACGCATCCAGGCCAACAAACCTGATCTTGTCCTTTTTGATAAATCCAATGAAATCATTTATATCATTGAATTTTCTGTCCCTTTGGACTCTTATGTGATTGGCAAGATTCAGGAAAAACATGTAAAATATGCGGCCCTCGCTTTCGAAATATCCCGCTTGCATCTCAAGGACCAAGTTGCCCGATTCATTGTTCTCGATGCCTTTGGTTTTGAACATACGATTCTATTTACTGACATTGGGAGAGTACTCGGGATGGATAGTGTTCACCACATCCGCCAGACTGACAAAGAGAGCGTGAGAGAACAGAAAAGTTGTCCAAGGATGTTAAGATCCACAACCAGATCGGCATAGTGTCCACCACCCCATATGTTTCAGTCACTGATGCGTTCTACACATGTCTGCTTTAAAGGAGTGTAAAAGCCTTGCAGAGGCCTTGCATGTTGCCACCCTGGTCGAACAACTTTTGAGCAACTTTTTATGCTCTTGGTAATTTTCGTCGAAGGAGCATGACCAATTGCACCCTAAAATTGTGAAATACTGGAACTGCTTGAAGATTCCTTGATGTGAAGGAAAAGTTGACAGTTGTAAGCTGAAGCCGTCCCTCTTGTCACACAGAATGTCAACCAGGGAATGTTCCTCAAAGCATTCACAGATCTAATCTGAAAAATGTTCTCCGTTAGATCCATTCTAAAAGGTGCACTTGTGCCACAGAACTGTTTGAACACTTGAACTCTTTTTGTGGCACAAAGTCCAGCAAATTATCCTGACAACATCATGTATTTCTACATTTGGGAATCCACTTGGGCTGAAGCCTTGTGGTGTTGATTTCTTGTACTGTCACCACTGAGTGTAGCATCATATCCACCACACAAGCCCTATCTCGTAACACACTCACATTTAGGCAATTATATAAAATGTCTGTTTTAGGCAATGCGACAAGTTATGGGAGTTTTGCTTCGGTTTCAGCAATATTGTCAATTTCTCAACTATTCAAATTGGGCTGAACATGGGCCTCGTAAGGTTTTGTTTGATTACAAAAATATAGAGTATCAGTTCTTTTTTAACTTCACTTTGTAAAGTACATCACGAATATAATCAACAGAATGAGCCGTTACTGTTTTAATAACAATGATACTGTTTCATATATGCTTGAAGACATGTTTAATATCGTTTTCATCGAATAGTTTCAGAAACGTATTCTCAGCGAATTGACTTTCCAAAAAATAGTTTTACGGTTATTTGGTTTGCTACACTTTACTAAGGAAGAAATGCATCTCTCCTCATATTGCTCAGTGAGATTCCAATGGTTTCAGTGTATTTG